AACAGAACATTTTAACAGGAGAAAGGAACTTGTACTTTGAAATAAAACAGGTTTTCCAAAAATACTCTTTGACATAATTTTTTTTTGAATCTGCTTTTCATTTTATAGTTTTTCTCTGTTTCCTTTCTCTATTGCACACCACCTGCAAATAAATGAGTGAAGTTGCCTGAACTTCATTTAATCTTATGCTACTAGGAGAATTGAATTCAATCATGCTTCTGGAAGTAACAGAATTATTTTTAGTGTAATGGCAATATATACCGTAATTTGTAGCGTCATTTGGCAATGACATCTTTACTTCTATAAAACATGTTAAAAAACTTTTGGCAAATAATTCCTCGCTGACTATATATAATATTATAATGCAATACAGCAACAACATGATGTTACAGTGTAGTAAAAAGATCTTGGTATGAATCTGTATTTGAATTTATTGCATAACAAGCTCTATCCTGCTGACAAGGACACTGATGAATGCTTCGCTATTGGTTTCACTGGAAACCTCAACATGCCTGCAAGTTGACTAACACACACAAATACTGACTTACCCAGACCATTTCTGATCAATGACAATAAAATGAAGTCTCTGGTTTATGCTACCTACATCTGTAATCAAAAAACCATTTTCAAAATGCCAAGTTTTAAATCTCGCAGATTTTGAAGCTGTTTTAAATAGCTTTTTAGTAATATTATGGTGACTATCTCAGCATTATTCCATTGAAGAATCTTGTAAATGGATAAAAATAACCCGAGAGAAGTTTTAAAAGATAGTGGAAATTCCTAAAAGTAATCAGAAGTGAGGAAAGTACATCTAACATAAGACTGATTAAAAAAACAAATTCAAGGGAATTACACTAAGCAGCAGCATAGATGTTTAATGGTACAGCTTAAAATGGTCACATTTTTATAAATCATCCAAAGATTGCTCTTCATTTTATTTGTAATGAAATGAAATCTGAAACAAGTTTCCAGAGCCAGAATAAACATGGATGGATGTGGGGCACACCCTCAGTTCTCCCACCGTGCCAGAGGCTCTGGAGGTGAGGTAATGCCAGCCCTGACATTTCTTCTGCCTCCCCAACAACCTGACCCGATGTTGTCTCTGGAACACATTTGAGAGTGACTTTCAGGCTACATCTGCACAACAAAATTTTCTGAAGATTGCTCTTCTGACCTAAAGCCATCCGTCAGAGCAGTGTTTCTGTAAGGCCAAAATTCTCATTATCAGCTTTCTCATTCCCTGTCATAGGATGGATGCCTGGACTAGACAAAGAACTAGGAATGGTCCTTGACTCACACCACAATCTGAACTGGACCATGGCATTTTTTAGGAGTATACCAACTGGTGAGAACAAAACTGTGACAAGAAGTAAACTAACAGATCCATGTGCCAGCCCTGATCAGTGCAGACACAGGTTTTGTATCCCACAATGACCAGGAAACACATGGATCATCAAACAAAAATACATGGCCCAACATTTTCCATGGGTCAACTCCGTAGATTACTTAAATGAACCTTCATGAAACTTCCATGAAACATGATGGAAAGGTACATTGCAGGAAGCACAGCGGATATCTCACAGGAAAGAAAAAAAACATACTGGTGAAATGGCAGAATACAAATTAAGATTATCAAGCACACCTCATTCCGCATGCACAGGCAGCTGAAACAATGCAGATTTTTCTTTGCACTTAGCCAGCTTCCTTTGAAGCAAGCTTTAGAGACAAAACTTGCACTAATTTCAGTGGGGCCTTTGTCTGAGCACGGTGTGCAGAACAGAGCCCTCTCCTGGTAAGCACTGAAGATAATTGAGGACATCCCTGGCACCGTATTTGGCACTGTCTGCAGCACATATCTCTGTGATGAAGTATTGAACGTAGGCACTCAAAATAAAATATTAGAAAAGCTCAGCTATTTGGAGCCATGGAACCTTATGATTGAGGTCAGATTTGTTTGGATTAAAAAATATATGAAAATCTAAGTAACATTGAATGATGGCATACTTGAAAACTGAAACCAAAAAATAGGTTATATAACATACTTAAAGGCACAGTTGGCATTTCAAGATCACAATGACTAGCCAGTTATAACCTGTTTTTGAACCCACAGCTGAACCCTGCATGTCGAATTACTGAAAAGGGTGGGTCACCTTCTTTTTAAACCTGAAATCTGATAACCAGGTCAAAAGAACCCCCATTCATTCTTTCTTTTTATGACTATAAAGCCATGAAGCACCAATAATAACCTTAAGTATATAGATCAACACTCTTTGCCTAATTAACATGCTTTTGGATTTCATACTTGAACCTGAAAATAAGAAACCATATTTCAAAGCCCTGCTTTTGCAAAACAAAATTTGCAACAGGTACCTCATCTAGATGCAGGACATGGTAGGCACTTAAATAAATCATAATAATGATCCATTGCCAAAATAGTGGCTGTCTGTCATTAGCTTTTCTCAGAATAACTTTACCAAAATCCCTTTGCTTAAACAGCAACACAACATTGTTGTCACTGAGATGCAATGCAAAAGAATATTGTTTAATTTTAAAATTATTTATTAATATTCCAAACCCCACATTGTTTTTAGCAACATATGCAAACATGATTCTCTGGAGCCACACTGCTTATGGCTGTAACCTCACTAGATTACACAAGGTAGGTAGGGTTGGGTCTGTAGTATTTGCATGGAAGACTTCCAAGGAAATTCCAGGTTACTCTATGAAATGGTATTTGTGCAGTGTGGCATTCTTCTGCTGACGCAGTATTGAACCAGCAGAAAGAATATGATCACAAGTGCTGTCTTTAATTAAGAGGTAAAACCAAGGATACTGAGCACTTGTGGGCATTAAACACCCTATGGCAGTCTTTGCCAGTGTAGGAGTGCCTGGCCAAATACCAGTCTAGATAATTACATCCTGCCTACTTACATTCCCATGTTGCTTTAAATGGATAAGGCATTATTCTTCTATTCTGGTGTAAGAGTGGATCCTGCAGCCCTTCCTTGGGCTCTGTTAGGACTATTTCTAGCGTGACCTTCTCTATGGTCATACAGAGTCATTTATGTGAACCAATGCATTTTACTACATTTTGGATTTGCCGCCTTCTGAAATCACTTCCACTGAGCTCATGGGAATTTACTTCAGCTTAAGGACATTGATTAAACCAAAATCACCATTTAATTACTGCCTGTGAGTCATACTTGTAATAAATCTCTGCAAAAAAATTGTCTGATTATCAGATCAGTTTCTGTAGGAATCCCTCCGGTACGTGTGACGCTCAGTTTCAGTGTGACTCTGCCCGCCCTCACCAAAAAAACCAGCAAAACAGCAGCATGGTTCAATGGCATCAAGACCGGGCTCCTTATTGGGAGATTTGTCTTGGGACCATACCATGCACCAGCAGTGCAGACGTCCCACACCTCCTCAGTTTGAAGGAAGTTACACTGAACAAAGAAACAGATAATCTTTTCAAGTCAGCTGTACATTTTAAGAAAGCGCGCAACAAATGGTTAAGAGCTTGCTTTAAAATGATATGTCCATTAAAACAACCAATGTTACTACAGGACTGTTCCCCACAACAGGAATTCACTTCATTGAAGTGGAAGGAAACCAGACTTCACAAAACCTTCATTACCATGTTCGAGTACCTCACAACAGACCACCGAGCTGCCACTCACCAAAGTCCCCTGGAAAGGAAGGAGTTGTTAGCATGTTTCCCCGCAGAAGGAGCCTTTTAGCAAGATGGGTGCTGGCATTAGTCACAACTTAGTTTATGGCAGTGTTGTCAATCATAATTATTCCTACAAATCTGAGTTTTCTCCCCTTCCAATTGCTCTCTAAACTCCTATTTTCAAAATTAATTTCCTATTTCTGGCTTGTCCTACACTATGTCAATTTGAAGGCTGGCTTTTGGATGCTTATTTAGTTTAAAAGTTTTTCTAGCTGTATTTGTGTAGGTAAAAAGAGTTTTCCAAGTCTGCTCTCTTTCTGAGTGGCGAGTCTCCCAAGACAGCAAACACAGGGTTTTTACAGACTTGTTTTCATGAAGATTCAGTCATGTGAAATCTGAAATTCTTTAGGAAAAAGTTGACCATGTTAGTAGAATTTATTGAATGAAAATTATGAAATTCATAGGCTTGAGCAAAGTTAAATAGCTCTAAATAGTGTCACCAAATGCAACATGAGAAAAGGGAAGGCAGGTAGGAAAGAATTTTCACAAATTCGTACATTTTTCCCCCCTCCTTTCAGGGGACTTGCTGACCTCTAAAGCTTCTAACATTCATGACTTCTGAAGCCCGAGACTTTTCTCTCACATCTCTCTCCAAGTATAGGGCCTAACTTTTGCCTCCTCTTTTAAATCTTTTACTTAGACCCTTTGGAGAGTGAAGTTAACTTGACAGAAAAAGGGTGATGCAGCTGGTTGAACAAGAGCCACTCAATCCACTCAATGAAACTATAGTCAGAAGATAACACAAGGTGAAGGGTAAGAGTATGAAATGTGACTAAGCAATTAGGGATTTTCTTCCGCTTCCCCACACAATGAAGCAAAGAGGACCAAATGCAGCTGCTGAATTTCTTGCAGAGAAGAGTGTTCAGTTTCAGAGCAGGAAAGGACTTTGCCTTCATCCACACTGATCAGCTTGAGAGAAAGGAGACAAATGTATCCTACAAAACGGTATGCCAACCAGCCCTGCCGTGCACCACTTGATCATACTTGATCATTCAAACTCAGGATTACTTTATAGTGTTGGCTTCTAGAAAAAAAAAACAAAGGGAAGAAACGAAATGCAGACTTCACTACCTGTACTCCAGCGGATTGACATTAATCAATCCTACCCTTCAGGGCCCCCTCCTTTGCTCCCATCACTACTAACTGCAGATGTCAGGGAGTAGCGAAGGCAGAAGGTCCAGGCCCCGGGCAGTGAGGCCGAGGACCGCGGGAGGGACACTGGAATAGTCTGGCGGCCGGGTCAGCCGGCGGTGCGTGCCCGCCGCGGTGTTCCGAGCGCGGGGCAGGGCAGAGCTGAGCGGGGCTGAGCGGGGCAGCGGGGCTGCCGTGCCGACAGGGGCCGGCACAGGGAGCGCCCTGCGCAGCTCCCGGCACAAGTGCGGAGCGGCGCCCCGGGGCTGCGCCGGCTGCCGGCTCCTCGCCCCTTACCTCCGCGCTCCCGGGACGGCCTTTTTGGGCGGGAGGGCGGGAGGGGGGTTACCTTTCCTTAGGGAAGTCCCGTCCCTTGCCAGGGAAACTTTTTACGTTCCTGTGCGTGAGAGGCAACCTAGTTGCACTCACTGAAGTGCGAGGAGTGTTTGGCTTCTCCCGTACCAGCCTCCTCCTCCATCTATTCCCCCCCGCTCCCGCCCCGAATTTCTCCTCCCGTTTTGCTCCGAGTTGCTCTTTATTTGTGTGTGGAGAAAGCGGTGGGGGGGACGACTTGTAGGGGGGATGTTCTGTTTTGGCCAGAGGAACAGTGCAAAAGGGGAGCCTCGGCTCGGAGAAGACACGAGAATAAATAAATAAGGAGCGGCCCTAAAATAAAGGTAGCGGCATATCCCGGCAGCGAGGTGAGTGCCTGTGACTTCCCCGTCCCCGCATCTCCCTCCCACCCCTTCTGCTCGGAGGTGGAGGAAACGGGTTCCCTGTCGCATGTGCATGTGTCCGTGGAGGGGGTGTGTGCGTCTGCTTGTATTTAGCGTTTATTTAGCACTGTTTTCATGTCGGTTCGATGACAGCAACAACAACAACAAAAACAAAGTTGCTGTAAAACAAATGTGATGGGAAGGAGCAGCGGAGCCGTCCATCGCGGGACAGCGACAAGCTTTTACGCCGGCCCCGCGCGAGTTTAATTGCAAAAAACCAAACTGGTTTTCCCTGTGGACGGGGCGACTTTATCCACGCCCAGCCGGACTTTCTGCCTCAGTCCAGGTGATGTTCCCTGCTGTTTTGCCCTCGCCGCTCTTCGGCTGGGTGTTACCGGGGCTGCTGGGGTAAGCCCCAAGACAGGAGCAAGCCGCGAAGGCTGCCGTCGCATTGTTCCCCGCTTGCGCCTCCCGCCCGCTCCCGGTGCGGCGGAAACGGGGGGCCCGGGCTGAGCCCCCCGAGCGGCCGGGGCTGCCGGCCCGCCTGGGGTGGGCGACGGGGCTCTGCCGGCCGCCAATCGCTCTGCTGACAGCCTGCCCTTGCGAGGGCCGGCGGCGGGGCCAGCGGCGGCTTGACCGGAGGCTGTGAGGAAACCTTTCTGGTGGCGGCGTCCGCGTGGAAACACGTAGGGATGGCAGTCCCTTTCCGAAACCCCCGCTGCTCCAGCGAGGGTCCGGGCAGCGCGGGGGCGAGGCGGCCCGGCCGGGACGCGGGGCACGGGCGGCAGCGGCAGAGGAGGCGCTGGTGGAGGCGCTGGCTCCGCCGCCCGCCCTCCGCCCCGCGCTGCCCGCAGCGCTCGGGGGTCTCCGCTGCCCGCCTGCCCCGGGGCGGAGCGCTGCGGGCGTGCCGCGCTCGGGGTGCCGGCGGACGGGGCACGCTGCTTCCCACTGCCTCCCGGCCGGCAGCCGCCGCGGGGGCTCCGGCGGACACTTTTTCGAGTGTCCGAAGGGACGGGAGACAGCGCTGCCCGTTGTTTTTGTTCCTCTCCGTTTCCTCTCCCTGGGGGGATGTCTCTTGCCCTTCCCCTCCCCCGCCCCGGCTTGTTTTCCTTGTGGTTTAAAGACAAAACGTTGCATTTTCGGGTCGTCCCATCGCGCCCCCGCCCCCGCCGCGGTCTCCTCTGAGCCGGCGGACGGGGCACGGGGAAGCCCCGGCGCGGGGGTCCCGCCGCCTTTTCCACCGGCGATGCGGGGACTTGTGTTTTGGTTAGAAAGCGTTTCCACGTGGGTAAGCCTTGTGTGTGTGTGCGGGTGTGTGCGCGTACTTGATCCTCAAGGAGGTAACAGGATTCTCCGTGTTCAAAACCGTTGGGCTCTTAGCCATTAATCTCCTTCTCCTGCTGTCATTACAGACACTTCCAAAGTCAGATACCCGCGGAGAGCCGCCAGCTGCCTTTCACACGGCGGTTCTCCCGAGCCGCGGGGGCTCCGCGCCGTGCCCGGCCGGGGAGCAGCCCCGCGGCGCCTTCCGCCGGGAAGGGAGAGCGGGATCCCACGGCATCTCCGCTGCCAATCGGTAGTTGGCATCTAAAGTTTCATTTACATTTATGAAACTGCCGCTCCGGGCCAAGCAGGCGCGGTGCTGCCGCTCCGTAGCCGCGGGCAGGGCTTGCAGCCGAGCGCACGGAGGGACGCGCTGGGCTCACGCGTGGCGGTGTGAAATAGCTGGTACTGACAAAAACCCTGCGGCTCGAGCTGTACCGGACAAGGGAGCGACTTGGCCGGTTCCAGTCTGAGTGTGAAGTCATGCTAGAACAGTAAGGAACCAGTTTTTGCAGTTTTCTGAGTTTTGTTTTACGTGTTTCATTTGCGGAGACTAGAAAGCGTATCTAAGGTAAACTAATCAGCAGTTTAGATTTAGAGGGAGTTATACAAAGAAGGCATCTTTTCTGTTTGGCAAATAGATTTTCTGGTCCGACCTCGGAGTTTGATGTTGGAAGCATGTACTTTGCAATAAAGCTCATGCCGTATTTTTGTTTCATTTCCCTAACAGTCAAAAGTAAGTTTTGCAGAACTGCCGTGGGTTTGACTCTTCCCCTGGCATTTCTGAAAATGCTGCCGAATAACAAATGCTTGCATACTTGCAATATATATCAGACTGTGAGTAAAATTTCCATACAGACTGACATTTCTCTCTCTTCCCGGTGGTTCTTTCGCTGTTTGACATCTAACATTAATGGGCTATGTCTGAAACAGCTTTTTTTTATTTTTTTTTTTTTTTTTTTTTTTTTTTTTGAAGTGTGGTATTTATGTTACCAAATGTCCTTCAATCAAATTTAATAGAAATGAAAGTGGAGTATGTTGACGAATCTTTTCTGTATCTCCGTTCAGATAATTTGTATACAGTTATTAATTGTTACATGTATATGGTGGTACTGATAATAAATTTAGTTGAAGGTTACTCTTGCTGGATTTGTATTTAATAATGGTCTCACAATACTCTGCAGTATAAATTCATTCTGTGTGGATAATGTCAATGAAATAAATGAATCCTAAACAAGCAATGTATTGAGTAAGGCACTGGTGGGTTCTCAATTAGTTGCAGTTCCCAGTTAAAATATTTCAAACAAGGCAACTGTAGAAATACAGCTATAGGTAGTATCATGTGGCATATTTTTAGCATGTGATGCAAGTGTTAAAGTTTAACTCTTTAAACTTTATGCAACTCTTTAAACTTTATGCAAATCCTAGAATTAATGTTAAACATTGGCATTTGGGGAAGGAAAGGTACCTGTCTGTTTCCTTGATGAACTGGTGGCATTGGACAATGTTGTGTGCAATCCTCCCTTGTTAAAATTTAAGCAGCATTTTGCTCTCTTAAATACGAAAGTTACCACAGAAAGAAAAAAGAAATTCCTGGAATTTCTGTTAAACGCTCTAGGACACAGCTATTCATTTTTTCTGTGTTATCTTTTTCCTTCTTGAAAGTAGGGATTTTATTAACTCAGGGTAAAGCAGGTCTCCCTTTTTATAAGGAGCGTTTATTCAGCATACTTCTATATTGCAGCTGCTGATCATATTTCATAGAGCTGTTAAAGCACTTAAAACCTAAAATTAGGTACTGTCTGGTAGTAAATATTTCAAATCGCTCCTTGAAGGAACGGGCTTAAAAAAGAGACATTTTGAAATATATCGTTGAGAAGAAGTAATCTGCATTGCTTTTACTCAGTGCAATACCAATCTAAATCACTGATTTCAACACAGTGTGCTTTTTCGTTAGGTTTTTTTAATCTCGTGGATTTTTATTGTGATTTTATGCTGGCTTTATTTGCAATCATAACCAGCTACTTTGCTCAAGCTATATTTATGATGGCAATGCTTGAATTAACAGGTGTCGAATTAACTTCTAACAAACCTGTGCTTCCAGTGAGTATTCTTGTGGTACTGAGAACTGAAACGTAAGTTTCCTCGCTTCCTGGTGTGCATGTTTCTGGCTGTTAGTTGCAGAAGGCGTGCACTTGGTTTTTTTTTTCCCAGATTTTGGATGAGACTATTTACAGTATTTACAGATTATTTACAGTATTTTCCAATTGGGGGATGGGGTTAGGTTTGGTTTTTAGTTGAACATAGGTATAGGTTTATTTGCTCACTAGCTTTCATTTTTGGTACTGTCAAGGTTTGCAGAAAAATGCAAACACAGGGACATCAGACTGACAGACATATGTCAAGTTGGTGGAGTATTTTTAAAGCTTTTTGGAAGTTCACCACTAAACCAAGTCTGGTAGCAGCAACACTCAGATGTCTTTGCTTTTTTCTTTGTACATGAGAATCCAGTAGTATTTCTGCTGTCTAATATATCTGTAATCTTCCTGACATTTTGTGTTAAAAAACCCTGGCATTTATAGTATGCAACTGGAAGAAGAGTGTTGATATTCAGTCATTGATGGAGAGGTTTATAAGTACACCTAATAAGTGCTATTTTTCTTTTTTTGGATTTAAATATTGTGTAAATGTGTGTCCAACTTAACCTTTTTCTGTCATTGAAAAGCGCTAATTGATCTTGCTGACCCTGACATAATAGTATAGTTTGATATTCGAAACCTTTCAGCTTTGGCATGGCCTTTTTATCACCCCTGAGATTTCAGGGCATGGTTCTACTGAAGGCATAAACTGCTTCTCTTTGAAAAATTAAATAAAAATGGTTATTAAAAATAAATTATGGTCTTTTAAAAAGTCAGTAATGTTTTACCTATCAAAGACTCAGGCTTTACAATATACATTAAAAGCTTCTGATTTACTTGTATGTATTAGGTGACATTTTTGACATTGCTGTACAGAAATCAGATTTTTATGAAATAATTTTTGGCCAATTCCACACTTCTGTGTTGCAGTGTTATTAAATCTGTCATTAAATCAGAAGTGGTTAAAGGAACTTGGACGCAATTTGCAATGCAAAAGCTCAGATAAGAAGAGTGCTCATATGTCAAATAAATAATAAAATCTATTTGAAAAGGCAGTAAAACATTTTTAGTCTACATTGTAGTTTGCAATGCTGCCAGAAGGATTGCTTTTGGGATGCCTGTAGTATAGGACCTTAAAGGCAAAAGCTGTTTTAAAGAATTTTCTTCCTTTTATCTCTAAGCCTGAAAAATGTGTCGAATATCTGGCTGCCTTTTTGCTTTAACGTTAAACAGTGAAAATTACTTTGATGATTGATTATCCCATATTGAAATGTATCACTGGGCAGTCTCAGTCACAGGATTGTATAGGCTAGTCATTAGGCTTTTGAGCAAAATGTCAAATGGCTAATGGCTGTCTGAGGAATACTAAAGTTTAAGCATTGTATTTTCAATTTGTTAAAAATTTCCTTATTTCTCCAAGGGAAGATTATAATGGCTAGTGATTATCTTCAGAGCTTCTCACTCCATAAGCCGGTGAGACTTTTTTGGTTTTAGGCTGTTAGGCTCGGGTAGTAGACACTAAAGTTTGAGTTAGGCTGCAATTACCATGGATTTGAAAAGAAGTATTTTGGAAGATTTCTATGCATAAATTAATTTCTATGTCTTTTTCCTAGACCTAAATACTATTACAGTGACTTTTCATTGAGCAGCTATCTGTAGAACTGCAGCGGAGGGCAGTTCTGTTGGATGCAATTTAAATGCTGTCTCTGAAGAACTCAGTCTGCCTCGGCTGACTGAATCCTCTCTTTGCACTAGGGTTGTGCTGGGCTATACAAAATTTGACTAATTTGGAGCAGAAAATTACAAAAAAGACCTCCCAAGGCAACCTGAAAAATATTCACACAAAGGCTGATTTTTGCATAGGTGTTAACTTATTACTTATGTGATTTAGTTAATATGCACTAGATTTTTTGGCAGCATGAAAATGAAATACTATTGTGATGTGACTCACTATAAGCTCACATTCTCAGCAGTGAAAAAATTATTGCTGCCTTTTTTTTTTTTAATTGGGTAGATCAGCAAGTAACTAGTCTGCTCTTGACATATATACAATTAAACCACAAAAACCTGCATTAAAATACCATGAAGGGTCTGATTTAGACCATAAAAGTAAAAGAAACACAGAGCTGAGTTTGCAATTTTTCAAATAATTCTCCTCTATGACTATGTGTATATAACTATTGAAATCAATGCTGGTGCATGAGGTAATTGGAAACTTAACTTGATGTTTTGTGCCAGATCCTTAGCTGTTGCAAATTGGAGTAGGAATGCTGAAATTACTGGAGTGGTCTCACATTATGCCAGATGAGTATCTAGTCCTCTATTCTTAGTTCAGTCTCCTCTTCTCATGGGGTATAGCAATATACATTATATGTGTGAAATCACATGCACTGAGAAGTGATCCTGCAATACTTAGGAAAATAAAAAAGAGAGTGAAGTATAAATGTCCAAATTATATATTTTTTCTTCCATTTTGAGGCACTTTCATACTCCTGTGTTCGAACATTTTTTGTAGCATTTTATACACGACCACAGAAATGCCTTTTACAGTAACTGTACTTTTGAAAATGATGCATTTAGAAATATTGCTAATTGTCTGTATTTTTTAAAAATCTATTAAGGCAACTTTGTTGCTCAAAGAAATGAGTAATTAAGTTGTGCTTGTTCAAGGACATTTCATGAATTCCAAGCCTATTCCATGAAAGGCATGAAGTCCATATAAAATCCCATCTGGATGTTTCTTTTTATTCACTGTAGTATATTCCCAGAACATCACAGAAAATGAAGTTTACCTTACTCCCAAGAGAGAGCAGCTAAACCAGCTTCTGTACACTTCAGTTTATGCATCCTGACATCGTGCTCCATATGAAGTCTTTCTTCCAATTCTCCCGAGTGTCTCAGCATAGACGTGGTCTTGCAAAACCAGGCACAGCTCAGGGAGATTATGCACATTTCCTTGCCAAGTTCTAGCAATGCATTCAGACTCAACCTAGCATTTCTCTTCTGGTCCTCTTAGCACAGAGAACTGGGAAGTTGAGAACTAATAGGGCTGAATGATACAGAAGTTTTTACAAATGCAGTGATTATATTCTGGGATAAGGTCTTGAAAATAACATTTCTTGGTACCCCTAGGCAAGATTTAAACTGTGCTAGGTTTTCCAAATAGGAAGACAAAACTACTTTTCCACTCAGACACCTATTTTTATGTTTCTTCTAATCTGGCATGGTAGAAGGATCTAATCTAATGATAAAATTAATTTTTTTTTCAGTTAATTTCACCTTCAGAGAAGCAATTTTTTGTGTTCAAAGTACCCTCTGAATACTGTGCAGCAGTATGTCTGGGAGTTACCTGCAAC